ACCTGTCCACTCCACTATTTACCACTCCCCCAATTTTTGTGTGATATGCAAATTTTGTCATTGATAGATTTTTGTTTTCTTCTAGGTCATTAATAAAAATGTTAAATAGCGTAGGGCTAAGAACCGATCCCTGCGGGACCCTACTAGAAATATACCCGTTTACAATTAATCTATTTAATGTGTGCTATGTTAATTGTATATCTTTCTATTTTTTAATCAACATGTTGTGTGGTACCAAGTCAAATGCCTTACAGAAGGGTGAGTGTATTACATCAACATGATCACCTTTATCAACCAAATTTCTAATCTCATTTTAAAAATAAAAGATATCAAGTTAGTTTCACAGGATCTAGTCTCTATAAGCCCATGTTGATTGGCATAATTTTATTACCTTCCTTTATTCTTTATTAATAGAGTCCTGCTCCACGATCTTGCCCAGGATCAACGTCAGACTGACAGACCTGTAATTACCCAGATCATCCTGTTTACCCTTTTAAAATATTCACAGAACATTAGCTTTCTTCCAGTTTTCTGGAATTTCCCTGGTGTTCCAAGACTTATTGAAAATCAATGTTAATGGCCCAGAGAGCTCCTGCACCAGCTCTTCTAAAACCCTTGGATGCAAGTTATCTGGACCCACTGATTTTAAAATGTCTAATTTTAATACTGTTGTTTAACATCCTCCTGAGAGATCAGTAGAATGTGAAGAACGTTATCATACAATGACTACATTTTTTGTGTCCCCCCCCCCCAAACACTGAACAGAAATATTTATTGAACACTTCTGCCTTTTATGCATTATTATTGATAATTCTACCATTTTCATCTAGTAATGGACCAGTACCATGGTTAGGATACCTTTTGTTCCTAATATACTTTAAAAACTTCTCATTGTCCTTAACTCTGCTGGCCATAGACTTCTCCTTGTGTTCTTTTGCTTCCCTTATCAATTTTCTACAGTTCCTAGCTTCTGTTTTATGTTCATTACTATCAACTTTCCCTTTCTTCCATTTGTTATACATAATGTCCTTTTCTTTTTATAGCTGCCTTCACTTCCCTCTAAAACCAGGTAAGTTTTTTAACCAGTACAACTTTCCTCCTGGATTATGGCTTTTTGGGCATCTAGCGAAGTGTTCTTAAGCAATTCCAAATTATCATTCCTATTTTTCTGATTACATTCTCCTTCCAAGCCAGACTGGTAATTGTTCCCAACCTTGTGAAACTGGCCCTTTTAAAAGCACCAAACGTTTATTGGCTGTTCTCCTAGAATGGCCTTAAATTCTCTGGATTGCTAAGAAGTCAAAGCGTTTCCATTCTCCTTACAGGGAGTCAGGTATTGTAGGGGCAGAAAAACACTCATCTGCCGCTGGTATTTGTTTCAACACAATCCCTGCTCGCATGCTTGGAACGCCAGTTGCATATTAGATTACACCGTCCCTGGAGCGTGTCCTTCACTGATTTGTCAGGGAGCCTCATGATTGCAGACACGCGGCTGGTGCTCTCTCTCACTGTAGGATCTCCGCTCCAAAGCCCCACAGCTGCTCTTGCCAAGCACAGAGGGGAGGGGAGCAGCCTGCTAGTTGGTTACTTTGATGTGCAGAGAAAAGTTACACAAGCAGAGGGCTATTTTCTTCAAACCATCTAACCCTTCCACCAACTCAGGGACTCTCCTAGGCCATGCAGTGTTGCTGGTGTGTCAGGGTGGCCAGGAACACTTGGATTTGTGGTTCTGGAAGCAAGAGATGCTGTTTGAGTCTTTGTATTAGAAAAACACTTCCCCAGGAATCGGCTCCTGGCGATGTTTTGCAGTTATTACTGTCTGGTAACCCATAAAGGCAGCATTCCCACGAAACTCCTCTGCATGTTCCATCCATCGAGAAGGACCCTGAAGCACTTAAGCTCTCTCTACATAGGGATTGTTTCATCCAAAACTCCAGTATAGAGACCTCTAGGGTGGAATAAGGAACCTGGTTCAACAGTGGACCCAAACACGGCACAACCGGTTAGGGAAGAAATGGGGCACCCCGTACCCAACTGAGACGGCGATGGGATTCTGCCGCAGGTACCTAAGCTGCAATCGGATGGTTTTGCAAAAAGGGCTATGAAAACCGTGCTGACTGCGCAGGCGGGACCTTGCTTTTCCATTCCATCACAAACCCAGCACCTCCCGCAGCCCAGGACCATGCTGGGCCGTAGGCTCGGCCCTGCCTCAAAGCAAGAGTCACATGTGGCTCCAGGGGAAGAGGGCAAGAATTCCACAAGCCCGGAGGTGACCGCCCTGGAGAAATACACAGATTCCTCCCCTTTCAGCAACCCAGAGCCCAGGCTGTCAGATGACAAGTATTCGGGTCTGGCTGAAGGCCCTCACCTTACTGCCGAGGTGAGAAATCCAGGTTCAGGAGGAAAAAACCCAGGGCTTGCCCTTGGACAGGACTAGCTGAACTAAGAGTCACACCTCAGAGCCCACGCAGGGACAGCCAGAATCATGCTCGGCCTTTCGTGCTGAATCCTCCTCCATGGGGAAAAAGAGACGTGCGTTCTCTTCCCCAGTGGAACCAGCGCATTTGGAACCACTTGTTTGGGACGCCGGCGCAGAATTGCAGAGATCCGTATCTGACTGGCCCTATGTGGCAGAAAATGAATTTGTCACAAGAGCCCTGGAAGCCACTTGTGTTCATCTGAGCTTTTGTAGTTATCTGTTGGGCCGATTCTTTCCTCCTGCTAAGGAGCGAGTTGAAGGCATTACCCCACCAACCTCACTGACATTTCCCGTGGACACACCTCCAGGCCTTGCGCTACTTAAATCCTTTACCCAGGGTTGTAATTTCACAATCCTGACAGCCAAGTCAACACAAGTCTCACCACTTTGCCACTGAAGTATTTATTGTTGCATATATTATTTGTGTGATGGTAGCGGTTAGAAGCCCCAACCAAGATCGGGGGCCCTTTGCTCTGGGCATTGCACATAACCATAGTATGAACTTAGAAGCTAAATACACAAGACAGCCAAAGGGTGAGAGGGGAAACCAAGGCACAGGAGGGCACGCGGGACTAGCCCATGGTTACAAAGCAGAGCAGAGAACAGAATCCAGGGTTCCTAGACCCACACTGCTTTTTCAACAAACAGCTGTTTTCCTAACTCACTTCAAACGGATGTAAATTACAGCACCATTCACATCACTGATCAACTTATTATTGCAAACTTTCTTGTGAGAGTTACACTTGTTTATATAGCAGGTCTGAATCTGGCCAATTTCCCCGCCCCCAAGAACTAGCCCACGTGCTGGTTTTCAGAGACCATTAACATGCAAATTTGAAGTCAGTTTTAGTGATAAGGACATCAAATTATGTTAATTTGAAGCCAGGGTAAAGTTTACTTTATTCTTATTCTTTTGAACTGCAAATAAGACACACATTTTTAGCAGCGAGGGTCATTAACCACTGGAACGTACCACAGGTTCTGGTAGACTCTACATCACTAGAAATCTTTAAAATTGAGATTGGTTTTCTTTCTAGAAGACATGATTTAGCACAAGTTTCCAGGCTTGATGCAGGAATTTCTGGTGAAATTTTCTGCCCTGTGTTATGTAGGTGGTCAGACCAGATAACAACAATGGGGTCTGCTGGTTTTAAAACAAAAGAAAAAAAAATGAAAACCAGTTTGATAATTTTCCTCCAAGACGGAACAAAACTACTCCGGTCTACCCATTTTCAAACCAAAAAGATTTATTAAAATGATACAGATGAGAAGAGGGGATGAAAACAGCTTGCGATATAGGATCTTAACTCTAGAATTGCTAGGAGTGGCTGCAGAGTGAGTCCTTGTTGCAATTTGGCCTGGCTTGATATTTGGTGGCTGGTGCAGGTATGCACACAGATGTGAAAGATGCAGGGCTGGTGATCGGTGGAAAAATGTGCTGGGCCCCAACAGAACCTTTGAAAGAAAGCAGGGGGTTGTGTAGTAACTAGAAGAGGTTTGATTCTTTGCATGCCAGGGCCGCAGGTACACTGCCAGCCCGCAAAGTGATTGGAAGTTGTTTAAACAGATGACAGTAGTTTCCTCTTCCAAATCTGATATTGTAAGTGAAAGATTTGAAGGGTTAAAATGGTGTATATCTAACCCCCACTCCCCCAAATAAAGAACCACTGGGAATTGTGTCCCCAAAACAGAAGGGGATTGAAATCGACAGGATTCCTGCTCCCAGCACTTCAGAAAGCAGGAATCTTAGCACTTTCAAATCCCCTGCTGGCTCCCAAGAATGGAGGCAGGAGGGAGATGGATAGCAAGGAGCGCAGTGTGTGTTTCTTCTCTCACCACCCCAGGAGCTGGGTTCTTAAAACCGGTGACGCCTTTGTTTTAAAAGGGGCTGCTAAGTAAAACAAAGAGCTACAAGGCCACCATCAAAGGGACATGTAAAAAGGAAAGATTTTCAGGGGGAGGGTGTGAAAGTCAAATTTTAGGCCAGTTATAATGACAACAGCACCCTAAGCACTGTGTCGTATGTTGGTGCTGCGATATGTCAATTACTCACTCGTTATTGAACAGCTGGATTCTGATTAGCTTATAAAAGAAATTTGTGCTTTTCCAACCAGGATCTTGCAAGATTATCTAGAAAAGCCCAAATTCTTTACGGTCGTCCCCAATCTGGTTCCCTCTTTTAAACGGTAAGATGGGTTTCAGCTCTTACACACCTGCTGCATTCTCTGACTTACAGGATGGACTGGTGTGCCCAGCCAGGGGCCATCACCCAGGAATGGGCAGTATGCTGTGGTTTTACGAATATGCTGTTTTCTGACTGGCAGAGCAGTCTTTTAAGCTTCATTCATCAATGGCTGCTAAGTCACTAGCTAACCACCGGTTTGGTGTGCTACATAAGAGGCCATATTTATCCTGACTGCAGGGCAACATGGGAAAGGACAGTTACTTACTTTACAGTAACGGTGGTTTGAGATGCTTTGTTCATAGGCAGACCATAAGAGGGACTCACATGGACAGAGACTCAAAGAAGAATTGAGACTTTTTGTATTTAGGGTTACATCCTCCACACCAGAAATAAAACAACAGATTCACAGCTTAATATCACACTTGTATTTAACTTATTTTCTGAACAGTTAAAATAATAAAAAAACCCACACGGTTACCATGATCCTAGTTCAAGTGAACATTAGTACATTAACTACACGTCACTGTAACATAATCACAAAATTCAAAGCACTTGTTACTTAATCTAGAGAACAAATATAGCCGAGTAACAAACAGAAAACTCTGGAGCCCATGTTCTTTCTACCCCTTCCACTTCCACACCCACCTCCACTGGAGCAGTTTAGAAGTGATGCAGCATGCGCTGGATGATGGGGTGCTCTGGGGGATTAAAAAACTATGCTGTAAAAGTAATGACAAGTTACTGGATCAATTACATTTCGTGGGTTACCAGTGCCTTTTGCAATGTAACTATGGATGGCACGAGCAGCCCAGCTTCTCATGTCAGAATACCAAGGAAAGGAGCTGAAAGTGGGGTTACACTCAGAGGTGACAACATAGAGTTCCACATTGATCGTCTCAATGAGTTTCACAGCGGGAAAAATCCTTTTTACAAGTCCGCTCACTAGCACAGACATCAACTTGGGTCCTGACGATCAGAGGTGGGTCACCCTCTTCCAGCACTAATGGTTCAGCAAGTAGAACTTTACTAATAATTTAATCGGCTCTGCAGTGCTAACAGGATCAACACATTTTACCAGTGAAGTCAGCAACTAGGATTCAAAGACACGCAGGCAGCAGTCACGTTGAGTCAGGAGGATCAAGTTTTACCATGTCTCTCTTCTGGCCATAACCATATAGGAGTCACTTGAAAAGGAATTTGAGAACTTCTCAGGGTGGTCCACTGCTCAAAAGTAACCAGTAGCTAGGGGCAGTATTGTAAGGGGCCTGTGCTGGGCAATGCATCCCTAAGGTTACGTCCACGCAGCAGCTGGGAGTTCTAATTCCCAGCTTGGGCAGACGGATACGCTGGCTCGGGCTAGCTGTGCGGGACCGGACCCGAGGGGGCCTGGTGGGACTCCGCTGAGGCCCGGCTGTAATGCGTGCATGTCTCCTCAGGCTGAGAATTACACCTGTCAGCAGGTGCGCGCGCGCACACACACACACACACACACACACGGCTTGTCTACACCTCAGCGGTGCAGCAGAGCAGCACTTAGTGAAGATGTTACTATGCGGCACAGAGAGCTTCTCCCACCAGCATAGGGACTCTACCCCCGTAGCTAGGGCAAGGGGAGAAGCCCTCCCACCGACATAATGCTGTCTACACCGGGGGTGAGGTGGGTATAACGTCATCGCTTGGGTGGATTTTCTGTGTTTAACAGAACTGTAACTGGGCAAGAGCTAATGGGGACTGAAATCTATTTGGTGGAAGTTGCTGCTGGGACAGGCAGACAGAAGAGCTGGCCACCAGGCTGCTTGGAAGGGCACCTAGAGGACGATTTAACAGGTAGCGAGTGGGTAGATTCCTGATCCAGATTAGGTATCACACGTTACGACAGGGTGCCCAACCTCTGACCAACCGCGGGCTGAGTTGGGAACCTGCCAGCAGCAGCCGAAAGGCCAAACCTTATGTGAAAAAAGCCATAGAACGCAGCTGGCAGTATCTTCAACACAGAGGTGCAGCTGTCAGAGCAGGCCATCTTCCATCTCAACCCAAGTGATGGCTGCTTGGCTCAAGACGGAGCATTGCATGCAGGGACCTGTAGTCTCCCTAGGCAGCACTCCTCCGCAGTGAGGGTAGGACAACTGCAGACCACAGGGACGAAAACCAGCAGGCAGTCACAGGAGAGATTTCACATGCAGGCCCTGCCTCTGGAGGTGCAGCTGGAATCACCTGAAGTTACCGTCTCTGGAAATCTTGCTGCTTGTGGTGGGGTGGGGGGAACAACAAAGCAAAACTCAGCAAGATAAATACATCCTGCATGCCGCACGAGGCCCCCGGTAAAGTTCTCTTTGGCAGCTGGTATTCCCAATGACTATTTCAGATTGTCCTCCCGACCCCGGAAAAACCGGGAGTCAATCAATCCGGCAATTCTAGGAAGCAGCTGTTTCTGACAAGGTTTTTTTACCCTCTCCTGCACAGAAGGATCTCCTTCCTTCTAAACCAACTGCACACCGGAGAGCAATGCGCAATCTAGACCAGGGCCATGACCTTTGTTCAGTGCGGTCCCCACCTTTGCAGAGGGGCCACTCTCCCCTCCCCTTTCCAATCACCTGGGCTGCCTCCTCTGCCCCATTATCGGCTGCTGAGGAGGAGGGGCTGCTAGCATCATCCGACCAAATGCTCCATGGACCAGTTCAGGAATCCCGGGTCACAAAAGCAGACCTAAAGGGGAGCTGAAGGACATCAACGGACACTTGAGTGCAAGGCCCAATCCTGACAGGTGCTGAACACCCACATCTCCCAACCGGACTTCGGGGTGACGAGAGTCTCAGTATCAGGCCCAATGTTCTGTTCAGACAGTGTGGGGAGGAGAAAGAGGAAAAATATGCACCTTACTCTCCAGCTTTTGAGTGTACAAGGATTAAAATACAGAATAAAGGATCCTTTCAATGCAGGAACAGGTGGATGGGAAGGGGAAGCACGGCGGGCCACAACCTCTTCCAGTTCAGAAACAAGTTTACAGCATTTCGATGCTCACAATGATCACAGACCTCAACTCTCGCCACCTGAAACCCTCGAAGCAGAGGGACAGCTGCAAAGGTTCTCTGGGCTGCAAATTCCTTCACGCCCATTTTCAGTTTGCGTATGGTGAGGTGAGCAGCTTTCCTCCTGGGATCAGAAACGGGCGAGTTTGCAGCAAGGCTCCCTCCTGACCTCTAGCTGCCCTGGAGTTGTGAACAGGCGGTGTCAGCGTTGTAATGGATTGTCTTGCTCTTACGTCCCGCCTCCAGTTTCCAGTCCCCGGGTCCAAAAGGCAAGACTATCGTGGGAGAAGTGACGGTCTCGATGCAGCAGATGTATCTCATTTCAAAGGGATGTGCAACATCTGAGTCCATGCACACCGCTAGTCCTTGCTTCTGGCTCCTTTCACCAGACGAATTTCATTTTTCTTTTCCTTTTAAATGCTGCATTTACTCCAGCCCTGCTGGGCATTACGCAGTCAATTCACGTTGAAATCTCCACGCACAGCTCCTTAGTGGACAAGGTAGAAAGCCACCTTGACATGAAGGTCTAATAACCACATTATTCCTCCTATGCTGAACAGCAGATGACCCCAAGGCTGGGAGCGGTGGCAGATTTGAGTTTCTTAGATCAGTTTCCTTCTTAGACATCAGAAGGAACTTGGAGGCTGGGGTAGGATTTTGTACAACTTGAGGGTTGGGGCAGGATTCTCCACTGAGCCATTCTGTATTAAAATCCCCAGACATAGTCCCTCCTGAAGAGTCAAACATCCCTCTACCACACGCCAAAAAAATAAAATAAAACTATTGCAGCAGTTGCTCACACACTGTACCTTACAAACAGATTTATACAGCAGAATTACAACTCTGGTACCACTTAAAAACCCAGCAGTGCTTAGAAGTTTCAAAATAGCAGCATGGAACAGCAGGGCTAGGACAACCAACAGTTGCAACAGTGTTGTCTCCATGTTTGGCCAGGAAGCATGCTGGATCTCCCCAAGTCCTCACAACTAGCAAAACAAACTTCACACTAGCAGGCACCGCCCCCAAGGACACTGATAAAACCGTGAGAACCTCTGTCGCATCCAAGGCGAAGAGTCACGATCGTCTAGCTCCGCCTGTAGCCGAAAAGCGACAAGACAAACGGAGGAAAGAAAAGCTGTTACGTCTGCAGCCAGCTCCATGTAACTGTCCACTCTCTCACAGCCACACTGCAGTTTTGTAACAACCGCACCAAAAGGAGCCGTGTTCAAACAACATTACGGATGAGACTTGGAACTCCACTTCAGCAGGAACAATTCAGAGTGAAAAATATGATCCACCCGTCTCCGCCCATGCTTTGGGGATCCAATATGTCTGATCACCCAGCAGCCAAGGACCTCTGCGATAGTTCAGCCTAGTATTAAGGATAAGCTTTCGGTCTTGCCTCAGCCTTTCTTTGCCTCTGCCAGTCGGAGTCAGGCCACGAATGTTCTCTGAACGGAGTTCGTTTATTTTGCTCTTTTTACAATAGTAATTTAAACAAACAGAAAGTAGGAGGCGTGTCAACGACCAGCTCTGACTAAGAGAGGCTCTTTGGAGTCGCTCTGGGTCCTAGGCCCTCCTGAAGACACATGGGAGCTGGGGGTTTCTTTTCACACTGATTCTCACGCTCCTTTGGAGCTGTTGTGAGTACTCTGAGCTCTGCCAGCTACCTTCCAACGTCGCCACTGCCTTCCCCTCTGCTAGCTCCTCGAGTCACCGAGTCGCTTGCAAAACGTCGCTGGTGGAAAAAGGACGGCAAAGCTAGTTAGGGACACAATCGTGACCCCCAGCAGAGCAAGGCTGGTGAGAACGTACCAGTCAAATCTCCCATCTGCCAAGTTCCAACCTGAGAGTTGAGGAGATAAAGGGCTCTAGTTTCCCAGTGCAGGATGGGACTAACTCCCAGTGAAGGCGATGGGTGTCATTCAAGACCTGCAGTGGGTGAACTGGGCCTAAAGTTTGTACCAGAAATTTTGACAGACGTTAAACTGAGGTTGGAATGACTGGAGACTGTTTTATTTAACCCTTCCTCTTCCAAAAGCAAGGCCTCTCAGGTGGCTGTTCCCACTGCAGTGGGGAAGCCAGCGCCTGCGGGGTCCCCCACTGGCTCTTTCGGTCTAGCTGACTGGCTGTGACATGGAGAGTCGCTCCTCACCCCCTGCCTGTCAGTGGGTGCTCTCCATTCTGAGCCATGGTGGTTCTCAAAGGTCTCGGCTAGTGTGTGACGTTCAGGGTGATGATCAGTACGCGGGTTAATTATCGTCCTGTTCCTAAACTGCGGTGCAGAGAAGGTTGGGGCTCAGAAAGGTCACACGACTCATCTCCCTCACCCGCACTGGGGAGTGGCAGCGCCAGCCCCAGAAATACGGCAGAGTTGGCCTGGAGGTACAGCCAGCTGGCCAAGACAGCCAATCCCACTGGTTAAACTAATGAGAAAACACATGCGGCCTGCCCCAGTCAACTGGCTGTATCGGTCCTATCAGCCACAGGACCCAACCCAGCCATCCCCTCCTGGGTCACAGTGCACCACGCTGGCCACTGTCGGAGACAGGATATTGGGCTAGATGGACCTCTCATCTGACCCACTACAACAGCTCTTATATTCTTATTTAGGGATGTGGTCAGCCACAAAAGCCCTCCAAAGCTGGGCCAACAAGGTCCTCTGCAGCTCCCTCTTCCATCCTCTGGCTGTGACATCTCCTGGGGGACGAGGAAAGAGGGTGCCAGAGTCTTCTCCCCACCCCAGCCTCATGTTTCTATCTAAGCAGAAATACAAATCTTAAACCATTAACAAAATCCATACAGTCTTCAGGGCCAATAGCAGGAGAAACGGAACCCTGCCCTGGGTCTAGATAATGTCTTTGATAGTGAAATACTGCCCCATACCCTTCAGGAACTGATTCCCACCCCCAGGCAATACTGGACTTGGGACTTTGGCAGAAGCCAGTTTAACCTTTTGTTGACTGGCACTGCCCAGACTGGCAGCCCAATGACTGCGGAGAGAAATTGCAATACACATCCAGCCTCCAAAGGGTTAGAGGGACAAGCAAGAGAAGAAAGCAAAAAAAGGCGGATTTGGCTCCAAACTGTCAGCTTCAGATGCCCAATAGCTCCACGAGCCCCGGTTTCCAGACACAACGCCCAAAGGCAGCAGGGGCTCTCCCCTCCTCTCCAGCACGGTGTTTGTTGCTTTTCAGAGTCAGCAGTTGCATGGTCTTACAAAAGCCCGGCAATGATGTTGTTGAATATTCGAAGCAGCAGCCCCTTCCCCCCAACCCGGAAGGACTCTCAGCAGGATGCACAGTGGCAATGATTCTTCTGTTTAACACCAAAGCAACAAATTCTGGCAACACGTTAAATATATTTATAGGACATCTGTGACTGGGACAAGAGGGAAAGACAGGGAAGCGGGGAGGGGGGTGGCTAGGCAGAGGGGAAAAGGAAGAGGGGTGGTTTAAAAATGTTAATCGTTCATGAAAGACCAAAGACATCTTCTGATATAGCAGCACTTCAGCAGTCAGCTGCACTGAGCGGACCCTGTCGGAGATCAACCGCATGCCAACTTTGTTCCAGAAATGAATCTGAGAGCCTCTCTCTTCCGCAAGGATTGGTTACGTGGATAGTTCTTTTGTCCCGGCATTGGCAGATAATTTAAATACTGCAGCTTAAACGAATTCTGGAAAAAAAAAAAGGAACAAGAACCACCCTTTTGTGCACCAAACTCATCATTTTAAGGAAAACCTCTCTTACTTCCCGTGTCTTTCGAGTGGTTGCAAGGTGCTGGGTTGAGAGCTCTGGAGAGTCCAGGTGTATTTATACACTGAACCGGGAGAGTGCAGCACAGGCTGTGACACAAACCGCTGCTCACGTGCACGGTTACGGAGAGCCTGCCTCACCCTCACCAGTGAAACAAACTGCCACCCAGGGCCCCAAACGCAAGGGTGGCAGATACGCTAACCAAGTGTGCAACCCAAGCCCATCCTAAGCAGCCCCACACCCCTCCAAATCAAATCCAGCTCGATGATTAATCTAGTCAGGCAGTAAGTTCCCCCATACGAGCCTAGAAGTGGTAACTCTCCTTGCTGGGATAAAAGCGAGAGGGTTAACACTACACACACACAGGCAAGGCCTGGTCTAAGCAGCCGTCAACTCATGCAGCTAGGGCGCTGGGCCCTATTAATAGATACTACTATACATCAGCAAATTTCCATGTAATCAGGCTGGACTCGCTGGTCTGCGCCTCCTCCACTGGCCAAATCCACTATCCTGCATTCCCCAACACTGGGAGAACGGCGCCATCACTACCTAGGAGGAAGGGCAATTGCCATGATTTGGCAGAACCTTCTAGCTTGGTGACAACTGCCCAGTGTCAAACCACCTGCACCCCCATGTTAAGCAGCCGCTCCTCCATTCACTATGAAGAACCCCTCCCCCTCCTGGCTGGGTGGGAACAACTGCTGATTTAATTGTTGGGGAAGCTGGGCCAAAAGGGGAATTGGGTGTAAAGACTGGAGGTGCCACATGCAGTGTTCAACAACTCCTGCTCGAAGGTACCAAAAGATTCTCTGCCTTCTGGCAGGATAACTACCACCAGCCAAGATGGGAGATACTGACCATCCAAACGAATCATTCCAGCTCAACGTTTGCCTCTTCTCCCCAGTGCCCACATGCCCTTGTGCCTCGTTTTTACCTGTGCGCGCATGAGGTACAGTGTACTGTTATTTATCTGGAGATGTAGGTGTACGTTCTGGACGGGGAGCGGGTCGATTCTGCTTGGGCAGCTGGGTCATTCAGGAAGTCCCACATGAGGATTGTGTCATCGTGCGAGCTGCTGATGATCTGGAATTCGTCGAACTGGAGTCGAAAGACTCTCCCAGAATGCTCCTAACCGGGAGGGTCAGAAAGACAGCAGGGATTACTTTACAGACTGCCTGGCTGCTGGGAATGCGTGGCGAACATTAATAATTGATTCGGTTTTTGGTCAGTAAACCCTATATGGCTACTGTGTGCCATTGTCTCTGTGGAACAAGCTAAGTAGCGTAAAAGTACGTCTGCCATATTGGGAACCTGACCCTTCAGCAGGGAGCGCACGCCAGAGTAGACACCTGCATGGAAGCATTGCTCCCCGAGCCCCATGCCCTTAGACCGAGCTCTCCTCATAGGACAGCTCTTCTCCAGAGTGGCCAGGGGTGGCTGACAGAGCAGTAGCCTCATACCTCCTACTATACAGCTCAGCACTGCCGCCATAGCATTTCCACCAACAGTGGATTATAGGGGAAGAGGGGAAAGTTTGGCAATTGATTGCCTTCTCTGATGAGAGAACGATCTGTGGACATGGGGAAAGCAGTGGCTGTGATATATCTTGACTTTAGCAAAGCTTTTGATACGATCTCCCACAGTATTCTTGCCGGCAAGTTAAAGAAGTATGGATTGGAAGAATGGACTATAAGGTGGATAGAAAGCTGGCCAGATCATTGGGCTCAAAGGGTCGTGATCAGCGACTTGATGTCTAGTTGGCAGCCGGTATCAAGCGGAGTGCCCCAGGAGTCGGTCCTGGGGCTGCTTTTGTTCAACATCTTCATTAATGATCTGGACGATAGGATGGATTGCCCCCTCAGCAAGTTCGCAGATGACACTAAGCTGGGGGAAAGGGAGATACGCTGGAGGGTAGGGATAGGGTCCAGAGTGACCTAGACAAATTGGAGGATTGGGCCAAAAGAAACCTGATGAGGTCCAACACGGACAAGTGCAGAGTTCTGCCCTTAGAATGAAAGAATCCCACGCACTGCTACAGACTAGGGACCGAATGGCTAGGCAGCAGTTCTGCAGAAAAGGACCTGGGGATTACAGTGGACGAGAAGCTGGATATGAGTCGACAGTGTGCCCTTGTTGCTAAGGCGGCTAATGGCATATTGGGCTGCATTAGTAGGAGCACTGCCAGCAGATCGAGGGAAGTGATTATTCCCTATTCAGCACTGGTGAGGCCACACCTGGAGTATTGTGTCCAGTTTTGGGCCCCCCACTACAGAAGGGATGTGGACAAATTGGAGAGAGTCCAGTGGAGGGCAAAGAAAATGATTAGGGGCTGGAGCACATGACTTATGAAGAGAGGCTGAGGGAACTGAGCTTATTTAGTGTGCAGACGAGAAGAGTGAGGGGGGAGGGGATTTGATAGCAGCCTTCAACTACCTGAAGGGGGGTTCCAAAGAGGATGAAGCTCGGCTGTTCTCAGTAGTGGCAGACGACAGAACAGGGAGCAATGGTCTCAAGTTGCAGTGGGGGAGGTCTAGGTTGGATATTAGGAAACACTATTTCACTAGGAGGGTGGTGAAGCACTGGAATGGGTTACCTAGGGAGGTGGTGGAATCTCCACCCTTAGAGGTTTTTAAGGTCAGGCTTGACAAAGCCCTGGCTGGGATGATTTAGTTGGTGTTGGTCCTGCTTTGAGCAGGGGGTTGGACTAGATACCTCCTGAGGTCCCTTCCAGCCCTGATATTCTATGATTCTATCTATGAATTGATCCCGAGTCTCCTGCTTGACACTATTGCTACTGCTGAAGGAGGAAACAGTTTAAACTGGAAGAGACAAAGGGGACCATTAGAAAATCAGAACGACATTGTAATGATTCCTCCTGAGCAGTTCTAAACGTAGCCACAGGAAAGGCCCTGCTTTAGAGGCAGTTTGTATTCTTATAGGAGGCGGAGTGGAAACAGTACGGCAATCTATGCCAGATCCTGCACATTGTAAAGCACAACTCACTACACTTTCCCACATGTGCTGGCTAGCTGTTATCAGTGCTCCCTGGTGCAGGCATGGGCAGCAGCTTCCCTGGTCAAAGGGAGTGCAGACAAAACCAGCGCAACGCCTCCCGACTCTCGTATCAGTACGTGGCTCCTTGTCATGCCTTCCACGCTGCCAGACACGGTGTAAAGAAAACCGAATGTCATAAGAGATTCTAACCATGACCGCTAGTTTTAAGATGAGTAAGTCACAAAAAATGAAAGTTCTCTTGAACATAGTCATCAACAGAACAGTTTTCCACCACACAGGAAGCTGCTGTTTTGACAGAGCAGGGCTCTGAAATGCAGCTCCTTTTTGAATGCAAAGGGCCATTTCACAGTTGTGGTAAGGCAAGTTCTGTTTTGTTTGTCTTACAAGTAGCATCCTTAGTTTTAAAATTCTAGTTAATTAAACAGACAGACCCTCCAAGAGTCTGGTTTTGCATGTATTCAAATAGGAAGGGTGTTTCGTGTGCCCAACAGAATAGAGCTCCTGCTGGGGAAAGTCACTACAAGAGCAGGTGTCACTCGGAGACTGAAGGAGACAGGGAATGCAACAGGCCACTTTGAAAACGAACTTTTCAATCAGTGTTTACTAAATGAAATCCCTCTACCCAAAGATCCTATGCACTAATCACTGTACTTGCTCTTTAAAATCCCAGGCGCAGCTGGTGTGATGCAGGCTTCACATTGTACGTTAAAGCCAAAAGAACCTGGCCTCCTTAGCTTGAAATGTAAAGCTGCGCCATGCTTATTTCTCAGCTTGGGAAGCTGCTGTCAAGCTCATGCGGCTGCTGCTCCATCCAAAGGAGGGGAAAATGAAAGGAACTGGCATGCAGCGAGCACTCGTTATCTGCAGACTTTTCTCCTACTGCTTGACAATTGAACACAAACGGCAGGAGGCTTGCAACGTTTATTGCGAGGTTTCATTTTGGAGGCCGAGGGAAGGAAAAAGAGCATGAGTAAGCGGATACTAGGATGCTCTGCAGTTACAGGCATGAAAGAAACTAAAAGTAACGCTCCATGCCCTCTGTCTTCCCCCTTAGCTCACTCGCGCCTACAAACAGGGACTTCTAGGTATTATTCACAGATTCCTACAATGTTTTCATCCCACAATTTCTGAGTTATAATGCAATTATTCAGGGTACCTGTATTTTTCACTGCCAGCAAAAGGAGATGGAATTGCACTAGTTAAATTAAGCCTCCCAAGTTAGCAGCAGAAACACACAGTGCCCAAGCAGGGTCTAACATTGGAACAGGATCAACACTGTTAACGTACGGAAGTCTCAGACTCTGCGTCTGTACATTCACAGGCATAGGGCCGCTCCATGGTTTGCAGCTGACGTGCTCAAAATCCCTCGGACTTTATTACCCACAAAAGCGTATGCCCAAATAAATCTGTTAGTCTTTAAGGCGTCATCGGACTCCTCGTTGTTTAAATAGATTTTAGTTAGGAACTTAAAATCAATTTTAAAAAGGGATGAAAGCCCTTCTTTTAACTGCCCCTTTTCACAACAATCGTCTGGCAACATTAAAAAACTGCCAGAGAGAAGAAAGAGACCCAGGAAAAGTCTGGTCACCCAGCAACACATAGATTATGCAGACTCATCAGAGGGTATCATCCCCTTGAGGTCAGACCCTCAGCTGGTGCAAACGATCACAGCTCCACTGACTTCCAATATCTGAAGTGGTGACAGGGGTGTCGAGGAGCGGAACATTCTCCCTTGGGACTGGCACGGAGCTGATGCCCTGGCGTATTGTTAGGGGCTGCTGAAGAGGCTGTAAAACTCATTCCTTGGCTGTGTTAAAGGTCCCATGGCCCTTTTTGCAAGGCTCTGGTTTGAAAGTCTTTGCGGGTGAAAGATCCCATAATCCCTTATATTCAGACACATCTGCAAGCCTGCCCTTTGGGGCCTATCATCATCTGCTTCAGCTGAACTTTGTCTACAACAACTCAAGCTTTCATGGTGTTATACAGCCTTGACAAAGTCTGTCCTCCCCCACCTCCGACCCCCCCCCCCAACCAAAAGCTCTTACCACGAGGGTTCGCAGACAGAGGGTCCCAGCTGGAGCGCGAGGGTCCAGAGCAGCGACAAGATCCCACACTTTAATTTTCCTGGAGAGGAAAGAGGGGACAAGCACCAAAGCTTTGTTACAGAGAAAAGTGTCAATGGTTCACCAGCAATTCAAGTTAACAGCTTAGATAATACATCCGGAACCACAGAGAAACCTTTCTGCTCTTGACACCTGGCTCTCACATGCTCTCTTGGGTAAAGCCTGCTGATCTTACAGGGGGAAGTATATGGTTACCATACAAATGAATTACATAAAAAAGCAGGTGACCGTAACTAACGTAGAAACCCAGGTGAAGGTTAATGTAGACACTTACTCCTTAATGGCAAATGGGCCAAAAGCAATGAAATGGAGTGATCACAGCTGTGAGAGTGCATTTGGGTTTATACACAGATAATGTGACACATTATATAAAGCCTCTTGTTGGACAAGAAGAAAAGCGTGTCTAAGTCTGCACAGCCTGGATTCATCCCCTCCTTCTACTGGTACAAGCGCATCCCTTCCTCCTAGAAAGTAGGCAGGCAGGCTAGGATTGCTCCACCTGTGCAAACTACTGCTATGGGCAGCCACAGGCAGGTTCCACAAGAACCACGAGAGCGCAAGCATTTCAGAGAACAGGACACATTCAGTGGGGGAGGAAAAGGCACGTCTCCACGTCAGCCCAGGCATGCCACTGCACTGGTATCCGGCTTGCTAGAGGTTTGGGGTTTAGCTAGCAAGATGGGGTGATGACACCAATGTCTTTAGCACCAGACTGCACCAAATCGTGATGTCAGATTTATTACAGAAAATCAAACGGGGCTGGGCTGAAGATTTCCCTCGTCCTTAAGCCAGACGGTCGCCCCTAGAGTTCAATCCCATGCGCACCTCCCCTGCACAATGTAGTGAATATCTCGTAGTACGAAGGGTGCGAACAACAGGATGGGGCAGAATGAAGTGTGGGGAACCCACGCACCCCAGTTTAAACCAGTCTGCAGGCTTAGGGATTCTATACACTAGTAGAGGGACCCCGCCCAGGAGAAGGAAGCTGACTTTGTGGCATAGGGGGCATGCTATCCAAATTAGCTACACAAGACCCCAGTGTAGCTCAGAGTTATTCAAGCCTGGAAAGGGAAAGTCAGCCATTCCCCAAGGGAGCCTGGACACCAGCAACGTACCAGGAAGCCCGCCCACCAGAGCAAATACAACCTCCGAGTGAAGAAAGCCTCTTCCCCCGCCACAGAAATCTGGCCTAGCTGCAGTGGAGAGTGCTGGAAAAGGACCCTGCTCTTTGGAGTCCCTTTCACAGCGCAAGCAGCAATGCTTGGTTAAGCACATTGCCCTAGATTATCGACAGGAGTTTCCAGACCAAGACACTCACTGGGCACTTTTCAGTCTGCCTGTTGTACTTTGTTGCCTTCTCTGATTGGCTGTGCGTCTGCTCATTCACTTCTCTATACTACTCAGTTATGTGGTGAACGGCAGCAGCTGCGCAGCAGTGAGAACCACCTGGCTACACTACACTACAGGGGCAGGTCTTGAGATGTTCCCCCAAATATATCCCCCCTTCCCCACGCACACCCCAACATCTTCCCTTGGCTCTGAGTGACCTGGTTCAGCTGAGCTCACACACAGCAGGTGCTTCCAGTTACGCGATGCCTGTTACAAGTCAGTGAGAGTTGAGGCCTGTCCGGCAGTTTGAAATTGTACCCCACCAGGTGGGTTGCCAGTGACAGGGGACCGGCTCCATTATTTATATCGAGGTAGTTCCCAGAGCCTCCTGTCCCACCAGGCTGAACACACACAGATACAGTCAGTTTCTGTCCCAAACAGCTTACAGCCTAAAGAGACAAAACCCAGACAAGGGGCGGGGGGAAGGGATCTACCACACAAGTGAAGTGACCAGGGATGATGGACACATGTCTTAGTTCTATTGATCTATCTGTTATCATGGGGCCAACTGGCGTAGAAAGAAGGCAATAAGTAGATGCAAAAGAGGAGGTCACAAGGAATCCGGAGGTGGAGGGGTGGCCGGAGAGAAACATGGAAGCTCAGAGAGAGAGACGAGCAGAGGAGTTGGTGCAAATAACCAACCGGCAGAGCAAAAATACTGTCCAGAGCTCGAATAGTAAAAGTAGTTTGCTATCACCGCTGGTGTCCAGGAGCTGTGAAGTTCTTGCCAGGAGTTGTGGGGGAACAAAGGGGCTTGGTTGGGTCTCTCCCTGCTCTATTACTGGTACGTCTGACTATTGCTGGGGAAGTCTCTGTTTTGGAAGGCTGGCTCCGCCCTGGAAGGTCTTGCTCCATTTCCTCCAGGCTCTGACACGGTGGAGAAAGGGGCTGTTGGGGGGATAAGTGGAGATGCCTGCCACCCTTTGGTTAGAGTCTAGCTCAGGTAGGGCATTACTGCTAATGACTCAGGCGCCACACAAAATGCAGAGGGGCAGCCCATGGGAAGACTTGCAGATCCAGAGGAAACACTCTTTATGAAGCTGTCCTGTAACGTGTATGCTGCTGTTGGCAGACCAGCACTAGGGTAACCACTTACCTCCACATGTAGGGCAGAAGGGGAAGGGAGCAAGCTAGACATGCACGCACAGGGATAGCTCAGTGGTTTGAGCACTGGCCTGCTAAACCCAGGATTGTGAGCTCAATCCTTGAGGGGGCCATTTAGGGATCTGGGGCAAAAATCTGTCAGGGACGGTACTTGGTCCTGCTGGGAAGGCAGGGACTGGACTCGATGACCTTTCAAGGACCCTTCCAGTTCATATTAAAAAAACAAACAAAAAACAAACAGCAGGAATTGTGGGAGCTGTAGAAAAAGCAGCTTCAGGTCTGGCCACTGCTAAACACGAGACACAGACCTTATGGACTCAGTGCTCTGATTTACTACATTCCTGGGCAGAGAAGTAGCTGATCTGGTTGTCAGTGATTCAAGCATGAGGAGAACTGCCATGTGAAACCGCTGGAAAACACACCACAGAAGACCCGTTCCAGAAAAGGGAATGTAACGCATTTCTCCTATATTGGCCATAAATGTGAGAACAGCACAACTAACAACGGGTTTAATTTTGTTGAGGGGGGTGGGAGGGTGAGAAGAAGGATGCTCGGTGTCTGAACCTCATTAACAATCTCACCCATCATATGCCCCGCTGACTATCCTCTTGTTATCGAAGCGTATGCATCTCACCAACTCCTCATGGCCTTCCAGTACTCGTAAACATGCCCCGCACTCTATATCCCATAACCTGGAAGAGATGAGGAAGAAGAGGAGAGAAGGTCTGAAAATCTATTATTGCAATGGAATGTTTGGTCTCAGCCTATAATTGGCCAATGCGTTCTTTGGAAATAAAGATTCTGATGGTGCTAATGTGGAAGATCTTGAATTCATCACCCCAGAAAACCCCACTTTTTTCCTGCAGCTCAGTGGGAGCATATTTTCCAAAGAAAACCCTGTTACGTTATGTTACGTTCAGGTTCTAGTGGGTCAAGTGATTTGACACATGGCAAACCAGCGACTCTGAATAGTTGGCACTGGCTCCTAATCTGTTCCATCACCTCGCAGCTCTGGTGGAGAATGCACAGCATCACTGCCACAAAGCGCCTCTCTCCACCGAGGAAACAGCTGCAGTGTGAGAAGGGCTCAGCTTGGTGGGATGTTTTACACAGAGGCAGAGGTGTAGCCTTAGTGCATAGGGGTGCTGGCGGAATGATTCCTGTTTTAAGGCCAGAGAGGCCAGTAGATCATCTAGCCTGAACTCCTGTATAACACAGGCCAGAGAATTTCACCCAGTTACCCCTCTATTGAGGCTAATAACTTGTCTTTGACTAAAGCAGATTCCAGAAAGGCATCCAAGCCATCAAGAGATGGAGAATCCACAGCTTCCTTTGGAAGCTTGTCCCAATGCTTAATCACCCTCACGGTTAAACACTGGTGCCTTATTTTTAATTGGAATTTGTCAGGCTTGAACTTCCCGCCATTGGTTCTGGTTATGCCTTTCAGTACTAAATAAAGAGTCCTTTAATATCCATTAGTTTCTCCCTGTGAAGGGACTCCTACATCACGATCAAGTCACCACTTGATCTTTCTTCTCTTTTCTCTACTGATAGTTTAGTTGGAACAATGAAATACCCTGGCCTCAGTGACTCCCTGTATTGAGTTACTGGGTTTAAATGCCTTGAAACATGATGGGCTAGATCTTCAGCTGAAAAAACAGGGCAGCTCTGGTGATGTCAATGGCGCTGTTTGGCTGAAGAGCTGACCTGAAATCCCACCCAAATCGTTTTCAGATAGTCTCTCTCTCTCAAGAAGACAAACTTTAATTTCCTAGCTCTTTTATATGCTCTATATTTACAGAACTGGAAAATCATTTAACACACTCCCTTTTGAAAAACAATTCTTAGGGATTCTAAAGGTTTTCAACCTCTAGGACATCAAATTTCAGAAGTTACAAACTTCAAATTTCACATCATGTTTTACCCAATTGAAGGTCAACATCTGGTATCTCAAGTAAATTAAAATCAAACATACATCAAGTCATCCACATAGATTACTCAGTAAGCTGCCCTCTTATCACCTTCCCACCGATACCCACCCTCAAGCAATGCTTGTGGAAGGCTGGTGAGCAGGTAAACCTTTCACCACCCCTTGAGGGCCACTGGACTTGGGTTCTTTCATGAAATTCTAGCACAATTTATCTACCAACTAGAAATTGTATTCCGTGTAAAAATAAGAGTAACTGTATTCCTCTTTAGGTTGATTACTGTACTGACATTTTTGTTGGTTATTACAAGTGGTATTTTAGTTGATTTTCTAAATGCTGTGATATTTAACTATTTCCTACTCCCATTTCTTTTGGCTCTGAGTTTCAAAGTACTGTACAAAAATTGATTTATTCAAATTCTAAGTGCACAATCTTTGCCGCACTTAGGGGCGTTTTAGAAAAACAGCACAATGTAATCACCCCCCCCCCCCCGAATTTCACTGGGTAAAAGGAAGGAGGAGTCAGTGATCCCTCAACCTGGCTGGTCCTTCTACTATGTCATGCCATCAAGCAGACAGCATGCAAAATTTGGCCCAGCACAATTGGTTCAATCACCTTGTGGTGTCACAGACAGGAGTGTCAGCTTCCTGTGGGATTCAGAGTAGGAAAAGATGGCTGGTTGTGGGGAAAAGCACCCAACAAACAAAAGCCTCTGTATTCACCACTGACAACAGAGGACTGGTAAAAAAGGAAAGTAGATTGCTGCTGCTCAGATAGTCCGTTCCCAAGTTTCAGCTGCAGGGCAAAGTCCCCCTCTAAACCAGCAGGTGAAGAGTAAAAGGGAGGCAGCCCGACCACACATTTGTATGATCCAACCACTTACCACGGTCAGTTTCACGTTGACTCAAGTGTACTGAACAACGCTAGTTAAAGAGATAATGGTACATCCCTCTAGCCGCAGCTGCATGATTTACCAAGAAATTCCGACTCCCAGCATGAAAGGGGTTAAATCTCAGCCTGCCATTAGGGCAGCCAGGAAAGTGCAAGAGGGAGAAAACTGAACTTCATGCTCTCATTCCGTTGTTCCAAACTATACCAGATGCCAAGCACCACAAGGGGAGTTTGGTGTGAGCCCAGGAGATTTCTGCAGAGGATTAAATGCTTCTTATTGCATGTCTGACCCTTTAGCTAGACACATAGGCCAAATAAAATATCACAAAAGGACATCATGCAAAGTGGTGCTTGCCAGCTCTTTCACACACCAGAACTGTCTAACCAGTCTGACTGGCTGATTAGTATGGCACTCTTGAGATAGGGAGGCTACAAGGCAAAGCAAGAAAAATGGCTTTCGATACCCCTCTTCAGTAGTTCACAGCATTCGATAGCAAAGGCAGCCCAGTTGCAGGAGAAATGGGGGCAGACCATTTCCGTTATTTAACTTCGGCATGTCCCAAGTGAACTGGAGACAACGGCCTTGCGTGAACTAAGAACACCGCGCGCAGAGCTCCCCGACGAGAGCTTGCCTCTCACCTGATAGTGTTATCTGAAGAGCCACTCACTACTAGCCGATCTCTGTACTGCAGACACGCGATGCCTCGTTTGTGGCCATTTAAGGTGCGCACGAACTCGCAGGTACTAGTGTTCCAGACCTGAGATGGGGAGAGAAAACACACAGGGCCCAATTATTAAGAGGTAACTAACGGAGGGGAGGGACCTGCAAGAGAAACGGGTGTGTCCAGAATGTTCAAAATGTCATCACAACCTCGAGGTCACAAGTCAAATTCAAGACATGATTGCTGACGTAGGGAAAACTACCTTACCAGTGATATATGGCTATAGCCTTCAACAGTTAACAGACTGACTCCTCATACATAGAGCTTTTATCGTATTATATTAGGACTTGTCCCCAGATTAAACCATAGCACTTTTGAAACTAATTTACAGTTTATGTATGAATTGGCTTTTTTCTGAGTTTGAACATCACCAACTCTTATGTTCTCAGGAATCTGGTCATTCTTTTTGGTCAACACTGACAAGTGCTGTAAATAAACAGCCTTTGAAATTTCTCACCTTTATAGTCCTATCACCTGATGCTGACACAATGTACTTGTCATCAAAGTCCACTACGTTGACAGCAGCTCTGTGTCCTACCAGGACCCTTCGCAGGGTAATGTCCGTCGGGGAAGCCATGTCCCAGACGGCAATGGAACGGTCTTTGGAACAAGTCACCATCATGCCATTGTTAAAGCGCAGGTGCAGTACTGCTTCGCAGTGGTGAATCAGCGTGTTTAGCATCTCGCCGGTATTCACGTCCCACACCCTGAAATTCACACAATATTTCAAACCAAGGGAAGGGAAAGAGGGTGAAAAAAAACTACATTTCATTTTTCTGCAGGAAAAGAAAAATCAAGTCTTCGGTTCGATTACAAGCCAACACCACATACTAAACCTAGAATCTGCTAGATAGTTAGTTCATGACAAGATATAGCACATAAACCAGCTGATTACAAAAATATTAAAGGAGTCCAGCAGCCAAAAACCCTGCAATGTAATTAGCCCCATAAAAACAACCCAGCAAAGCGTTTTGTAATTAAGTGACTGTGTAGTGCTGATGAAAGGTACCAGATTGACAGCCCTGGAGACTGAAGTCCCCTGTTAGCTCTGCCTGCAGCTCTCTCCACCCCCAAAGTTATGCCTGTCTACCCAGATCTGGAAAGACCCAGTGCTAGAGGCAAGTTCACCCCCAATGGCCCATTCAATCTTCGCCCTTTCTGCTGGGACTGCCAACAAGGGACGCAGTTTTCTATAGTAGCAGAAGACCAGAGTATGCTTTTTCTTTGTAAGCAAATCTAAAAGAATCATTAAAAAAATTACACTATTGGGTTAGATCGGGTTCTAACAGCAGCAAATTATTTATCCTGAACAGACACAAAGGAACACGACGACGTTTCAGGAATTTGTTGACAAGGCACAAATTAATATAGAGTTTTTATGTCAATTGACCATTAATAGGTCTAGTCTATTACACACAGAGGAGAACTTGTGGTTAAAAGAATCAGGTACATGCTCAATTTAAAGAGCTTCTATGACGTGAGTCAGGGACATTAAAGTTTAAAAAACAACACAGTTCCTTTTGGTGCATTGTTTGCGAAGGTCTTTACCTCAAGGCAAAATTCCTTCAAGCAGTTTCCTGCAACACTGTCATACCCTGAACTCCAGCTACACTAAACTCCAGCCGCATAATGGCCGTATTGTCAAATAGCAAAAGGCTGCGGAAATTGAATCCCTCCTCCCTTAACGAAGCTTGCAATTAAACACGGCAGGGATGTGCAGGAGAGAAGAAATGTCACTCATGTTTATGAAATACAAATGGTTGCTTCATATGCTACAGTAACAATGCCCAGTCTGCTTTGTGTGCGCTAACCCGTCATGAAACTTGGGCTGCAGCCTCTCAGTCCTAAAAACCAGGGGGTTTTGCAGAGTGCATGCCACCTCCCATTAACCCCCCTTAAAGCTACAGCTCTCCTAGTAGGCTCTGGAGGCCTCCCTCTTGTCACAGGGCAAGCTTATTTGAAAATGATGTGACGCTGGCAGAGCACGTGCCAGCTCATGCGAAGGTCCCAATGTCTCCACTGAACACTGAGAAACATATACCTGGCACCAGTCTGGCTCACCTGTGCGTCAGTATTTTTCAAATAGGAATCAGAATTGTAAGAACGTATTTAGACTTTACTGAATGCTTGTGAGTGGCTGACAGCATTAATCTCACATATAGCATCTGTATCCCTTATTGTAAGGCAATACTTGAGTGGTTGTATTGTGAGGCTCTGTGACGCCATGAATCACCGGACAGGAGAGAGACATGAACTAGTGTGAAGTGCTGATCTAGTGTGAAGTGCTGGGTTACCCTAAAGGTCATACAGAGCTTGCTGATTATAGAAGCTTCTATTACTTTTTGACACTTAAGATTGTAACACAGTTATGCATCTATGTTTACCTGCTTTAACCTTGTAAACAACTCGTTTCCTTTTCCTACTTAATACATCTGTCGGTAGTTTATTGTAGGATTGGCTGCCAGCGTAGTCAGTGAGATCTAAGGTGAGACGGACCTGCGGTAAGTGACTGGTCCTTTGGGACGGAGTAATCCGAATATTGCGGTGATCCTTGGGGTAAAGCAAAGGCAGGCGCAGCTGGGTGGGGAGTTGGATCAGCGCACCCAAGAGGACTGTCGGTGACTCCCCGTTTGGCTGTTCTAGTGCCTGATGAGTTCAGCTCTGATATTCAGTTGGTTAAATCTAAGTAGAGAACGCACAGCCAATTTGGGGCTTGTGCCCTGCTTCCTGACAGGGTGCCCGGAGGTGGGTACCCATGCTCGAGTCACTGCAGGCAGCGTTACACCTGCCATTTGGGATATGTCCACACAGCTCTGGGAGGGTGCTTCCTAGTGCAGGCAGGCAGACACGCTAGCTCTGCTCGAGCTCGCACGCTGAAAATAGGAGTGAGGCCACAATGGTCTAGGCAGCAGCTTGGGCTAGCCACCTGAGTACAAACTCCCCCAACTCCCAGGATATGGATTCAGGTGGGTAGTCTGAAGCGCTGCTTGTACCGCTGTGGTCATGCTGTGAAGTACACTAGCTGCTGTGTTGGAATACCTTGGTGTTTACCAAAGGCAAAATTTGCTCTGCATGAGTCCAGGATAAGAGTTATTGCTGGCTTGGAAAATTTAACAGGAAGAAAGGAAGAGGGGATGAGCTCATTCCAACCTTCCTTTGAGTCACTGCTCCCCAATGGAAATGCGATTTGGTGAAAACACACATCGCAGCTGGAGTCTTACGTTTACACATTCTGTGCCCGTTCTTTTCAATCCGAAAGCTTAATTTACAACATTCCCATCTCTGCACAAAGGTATGGAAACCACATGCCTTCCCACTGCATTTATTTACAGGCACGTCTACAGTGCTCATCACTGAGTTATCTGAGCATCTCTGTTAGAACCAGGCATTAGCATTACAAAACCCTCCCGGGACAATCACACCCTCACATTGCAGAACAACATAAGAATATCACTACATCCAGCAGACATACGAAAAATGACAGGAAGAGCTAGGCAGTAGATATATTTTTCAGGGGAGGCCTTTCTCTTGCACTCCTGGGGAGCCATGTGTACTGCACCATGCGTGTGTGTGCATATATGCATCTTTATTTCCATCCATAAACAGCCCACACTTGATTACAGGTTATAAAGCACACAGCCGAATGGTAGGGGATAGCAGCTATGCACAAGCGCTCAAGTGAATCTAAAGAACGCAGCCTGAAGTTCACCTACTAGCACATGTTCTAGTGGTCAAGAATCACTGTCCCAAAGCCCTGCACAGATAGAGAGATTGGTAAGTAGTTCTGAGTAACCAATTTAAGCCCATTGCTTCTCGCCCTGTCCTCAGAGGTTAAGAAGAACAATTTTTCTCCCTCCTCCTTGTAACAACCTTTTATATACTTGAAAACTGCTCTGCCCCCTCTTGATCATCTCTTCTCCAGACTAAACAAACCCAATTTTTTCAATCTTCCCTCATAGGTCATATTTTCTAGACCTTTCATCATTTTTGTTGCTCTTCTCTGGACTTCCTCCAATTTGTCCACATCTTTTCTAAAATGTGGTGCCCAGAACTGGACACAATACTCCAGTTGAGGCCTAATCAGCGTGGAGTAGAGTGGAAGAATTACTTCTTATGTCTTGCTTACAATATTCCTGCTAATACAGCCCAGAATGATGTTTGCTTTTTTTGCAACAGTGTTACACTGTTGACTCATATTTAGCTTGTGATCAACTGTGACCCTCAGATCCCTTTCCGCAGTGCTCCTTCCTAGGCAGTCATTTCCCATTCTGTATGTGTGCAACTGATTCTTCCTTCCTAAGTGGAGTACTTTGCATTTGTCCTTATTGAATTTCATCCTATTTACTTCAGATCATTTCTCCAGTTTGTCCAGATCATTTTGAATTTTAATCCTATCCTCCAAAGCACTTGCAACCCCTCCCAGCTTGGTATCGGCTGCAAATGTTATAAGTGTACTCTCTATGCCATTATCTAAATCATTGATGAAGATATTGAACAGAACCAGACCCAGAACTGATCCCTGCGGGACCCCGCTTGTTACGCCCTTCCAGCATGACTGTGAACCACTGATAACTACACTCTGGGAACGGTTTTCCAACCAGTTATGCACCCACCTTATAGTAGCTCCATCTAGGTTGTATTTCCCTAGTTTGTTTATTGAAATGAAGTATTCTAGGCAAGTACCCAGTCTGCAGTTTGATCTGCCCACCATGGACTGGGAAACGACAGAGTCTTTCACATAGACCAGCCTTTTCTTTTTACTCAGAGTTAAACATAATGCTGCCCCATCCAATCTAAGTGCTGATTAAATGTCCAGGTAAAAGAGATGTGAATTTGTACAAATGGCAGGAACCAACAGAACTCCTAGCACCACAAACCTGTGTGTGCAATATGCAGGGGTTGAATTTTAGGGTCACCTGCTTATGACTGGTGGCTTCAAAATGAATTTAGGCAACCACAGAGAGGAGCCTGCAGCCACAGGAACAGGCGCATGAGTGCAAATGGTGCAGGAAAGGCGATCGCCGTAGCTTTGGGCCTGCTTCCAACAGTGCTGCTTGGAGCTGCATAGTTCATACTTAGGCAGAAAGAGGGGACCTCCTACCCACACCAGCACAGGGAGACCTATTCTTCTGGCCAAGCTCTATCCCTCTTCCCCAGCCAAGGGAGAAATGCCCCTCCCCCCCTTCCTGCTAGTTCACCAGCTGAACGTGTATTTCCAGATATTTTCATTTCGTGAAGTGAAATCATTACAATTTTGCCCACTCTAGTCTCCTGAACCATGCCTCGTGACCGTCCCATCCGGAGAGTAGATTCTAATGTGGACTGTCCAGCCTTGCAGCATGGGTTTGGAAATGAGTGAAGAGAACAAGGTCATAGAGTGGTAAAAAAACATGTAGTTGAAATGTATTAAAGACACACAGGGGATCTAGCCAGGTAGCTTGTGTTAATTCTAATGGAAGAGGCATGGCTAAAACCCCTACATGGCTTTGAAAACCTAACCAAGGTCTTTAAAAATCTCTATCCCAGGGAAATGTGCAAATTCTTAGTAAAAATTCACAAAAGTCTCCTTAACCCAGCTTGGAAATCGCCAGCCTTTGCTTATTTTCCATTTCCCTGTGATAGGCAGCAAAACTTGAGTGGAAAATTGATTTTTAAACCAGTAGGGCTTCTCGTTGGAAAGGAGTTTACTGGAACTACTCAGTGAAAAAAGCGGAACAGAGAACAATTAAAAAAAAAAATCTTTTCAGTACCGTCTGAGGGCACAAAGCTCAGTTTCAGAAGTACGTACCTGACGGTTGAATCAGAAGATCCAGTAATGATCACCCGCTCGTCATACTGTAGGCACAAGACGGAACCCGTGTGTCCAGTCAGAATTCGCTTGCATTCCAATGTATTCTTATCCCAGATCTAGGGTGGCAAACAGTCACAAACAGTCTGGTAAGTAAGATGTTCATCACTGTATAAATGGGGCATGTTGCTGGGTTGGCTGTTTCGGTTTTTATTACATACTGTTTGCGGATCGAGCTTCCATGGTAGCACAGAATGCACTGTGTTATTCCACAGGCGCTTTGGTGCAATATAAACCATTCTTAATATCTCTGGTTTTAATATGAATACAGGCTCTACACTTCTCATCAGGGAACAGGGTAGCCTGTAATGACGGGAGGACCAATAATACTGCTAGCAAAGTCCATTCTATAAGGAAGCAGAGCATTTCTTGCCGGGTGAGACAGATTTATACACTTTGCTGGGGGAAGGCTAGCTTGTGTGTACCAAAGCAAAACTCGCCTGGGCTAGTCCAGTGTTTAACCTTTTTGACACCAGGGGCCAGCTTGCGGCCTTCCTAAACTGTGTCGGGGAGATCTCAGGGACTGGCACTGGTCCACAGACCAGTTGTTTCGAAACGCTGGGCTAGGGCACCTTCTAAAAAGTCTCTTACCAACTGCTTCCTCCCACACTGAAATTCGGACACAAGATTGTTCATGAAGCCTGCTTTACACACCCTAGCTTGGCCACCTCGGGGAGTTCTCACCTTGATAGTGTTGTCTCGCAGGCCACTTACTATCTTCTGATCGTCATACTGTAAACAATAAACCCCTTTGCTAGTTTCACTCCGGCAGTGGATTCTCTGTAAACTGTGCCTTCCACACCGCCAGTTTGATTCTATTGTCTTGGGGATGGGGAGCAGAGAAGAAAGAGAAGCAAATTAGAGAAAGTCCTGTTACATTTCCCAACAAGGAAGCCCATTAGATGATACAGTAGTCTCCCAAGGGAAGTGGCGGTGGGGGCACTATTGCTAGAGTCATTTATATGACAAAGTGCTGGAGAATATAGCGTGGTGAATGTTGTTGCACGGGCCATGTTGGGGATGCACAAGCTGACCTAAAAGGTTTTTTCCCCCATCTCTAACTTCTGTGACTCTGTGGAGCCTTCAACAGGAGGATGCTCAGTGACTAACGAAGAGCGAAAGGTGGTATCCACCTAGATCTAGCCGGTGATTATATGGCCCCCGTGATCAGAGCAGCTGAGCACCTCTCCTGCAATGAAGAGTTCAAGCATAGACAAGAGGTGGTACCTTGCACAGAACCATTTATGGGGCAGCAGTGCCACAGGTTCGATGCCCTTCTCTTTGAATTTCATGGACTGTCCTCTCCGGCAATGCCTGGGTCTCCCTGGCTCAGCTCTGGCCCCTCACCACAACCTCTCACGAGGCCTCACTATTTCTTCATTGAAAGAGCCATGAAACGCCTGAACGCTGTCCGGCTGCTGCTATACACCGTGTATGCTGTGCAGATTCACCAGAATCCGCTACTTCAACTACGTCTGACAGCTCACGCAATTTACATTCAGGGAAGGGAGTCGCTAAGCCTCATGATCTTCATGTGGGAACTCCAAAACATGTATATGCCATGTGCAACGTTTATTAAAACCAGTGTGAGGGGTTTTGCTGACATTTTAACAAATCAGAAAGTTAAAAACCACACAAAATGAAATGTTTGTTTCTTACCTCTATGTCCTGTATAATTTTTGGATAAAGTGCTCTATAGAAGGAGTTGGGTGGGGCATTCCCATCAGGTGGCTTATTTTTAAATAGATACTGTCCCCTGGAACACAAGAAACATTTCCCATTCAACACAGTCCATGTTTCAGCAGTGTTGGGCAAAGGTTTCTAAGGCACTTTCCTGGATGCGTTGCTGACTGTAGGGGCAGGGGACTGCTTAGCATTCAGGCATGGTGGACTCGGTAAGCACTGTTTGACCTGCACCGTGACTGGGTTGTATTTGGATACGTGACAAATTCAAAACGGGTATTCGCAGACACCTGGGGAATTGCAAATGTGTTATGCATACAGGCATGAGCCACTATTGCCCAGTCTGTGAGTTATAGTGGTTCATACGTCCTTTGGCTTGTGTATCTATTATGTGTGTCACTTTTAAAAGAAGGGGCTCAAACCTTCACAACTGCCAATGGCGGGGGGGCGGGGAGGGGGCTGCAAGGAAGGCCAGCAATGGGAGAAAACTAAGGAAGGCAGGCCCCCCAAAAATATGTTACGTGCCCAAGGCTGGAAAGCTGTGTTAGCAGGAGTGACATCTGCTTTGGCACATGGACATTTTACGGCTGCTGCTAGATTCTGGTAAGCAACATTTCATTAGTGGCTCCTTCCTCATTTCAACACAGATTTGGAATACTCATATCCCAAGCTAGATTTTTGCTTCAAAAAAAATTCAGTAAACGGCAATCACTTCCTGCTGTGTAAAGAACTTTAATTCCTCATCCTGAAGTTAAGAAGTCACCAAACACGGTGTGGAAGCTAGTAAACCCCACCATGGGCGTACTAACTGCTGTTTTGTCTGGCAACATGCCTTGCAAAGTGGAGATAGGCACAAATGCCTCGGAGTGTAATCCTGGCATCAGAGGCATGGCGTTTACACTGGGCCAGCTCTCTGCTCCTCCCCGCCACTACTCCATTACAGCATGATTAATTGTTCCAGATCTCCATGTGCCTTTCTCACCTGTCCTTTCCTTACAGTACACCTTGAAACTACAGTACACCTTGACTGCTTGGGCCTCAGCTATACGTAGCATGAAACCTGCATCAGAAAAGCTACAAAAATGATCTGAAGCTTTTCGTTTACAAGGACAACACACAATGTATAGTGCTAAACAAGCATTTGAAAGACACACAAGGGGAACGGCATATATTTAAATTCCCTAAGACATTAGTTTAAACACATGTTTTGGGGCAGAGCAGTTTTCTGCTCCATACTTAGAAGTTTGCAGATTTTTAGACTATAAGAAGTATCAGCCATTAACTGCACTGGAATGAAGGTTTGTGTTTCCAGTCTCACTCTCCAGGATGTGTGCACATGACCAGGTAGGCACATGCATGCATGCGGGCAACTGTGAGTACAGGTCCTAATCATTGCAGAGAGCAGTTGGTGCAGTATTTGCACACGTGGAGTGCTTTTAGAAGAGTGAAGATTAATCACAAGGGCAATGTTTTGAAGACTTCTTGGGGAGTACATGCCTTGGAGGTGGGGAGAATGCTTGAGCCAGACCCTGGAATATTTAGGTTACATCTGGGTTGGCCTTCAAATAGAATCAATTGTGGCTTAGCTAAAGAAGTGTTTGGAATTTTCACTGCATCCCAGGTGAGCTCTCTTGCAAGAGTTTCTCTTATAAAAGCAACTATTTCGTGTCCCCGCCCCAACTGAGGACAATGGGACACTGCCGGGGTGCCCCAAAAACAGAGCCTGAGGGACACGTAACCATGCTCTCGCTCTCTCTCTATATATATATATATTACTGTAGGGTAAAAGGAACTCAATCAATTGCAGGTTTTGATGACCAGAAAACCGAGTGTATTTTGGTCACTATCTAGACAGACACAAACAGTGCTCAGTTTTTTTTTAATAGTAAATTTTCTATAAATGCTTGTGCCAATCCATGTGACCCCACTCATTCCTGGCAAGTTGTCAGTGTGGTCCTTTGGGTTGCAGAGTTTGGGCTCTCCTGTTGTAAGGTACCAGGAAGCAAGTGATGAAATCAAGTGGTCCATGCACTGAGCTAAGTGAAGAGCTATAAGCGAACGAGAACAGTTGTTATCATTCTGAACTGTCCATCTATTCACTTCCCTGTGCCACCCAAAGCACTGATTCCAAGCTACGAAGTGCTTTATGGCAGATTCCCAAGTTAAATTAGATATTGCCTGCCTCTTTTCCCCACCCAACTGTTCTTAGGGTTAACCTCCTCCTCTCTATCAGAGGGTATTCTCCCTGGGACTACATGCTTGGGGAATTCCATCCTGCAACCAACTTAAACAGGGGACAGTGCAATCCTGGGGGTGCAGCAGGATGATGGGGGAGGAGGGGTATACTGCTGACCTTCAAATACTCATATGATCAGCAATGGGCATCAATGTAAAATTCTAAATATAGAATGAACTATAAGACTGGAGATAATCATGGTGTTGCTCTAACATTTCCGCCTGTGTCTGCAGCTAATACGGTCACAGAAAGGGGTACTGAACACTTTTGATAATCACTATGCTCCTGGAAGCGGATTTGCATAGTATTTAAAGGACAGTTCATAATCATGATTTACTTGTCTTTATAATCAGCGACAAACTGTGTAACAAAATTAACTTCAAAACAACAGAATTTTTGCTTGCAACTTTGTATCTTTTTTCCTTTTTAATAGCAACTAAAATGCCTAAGCTGTCACTTTTATCTTGTTTATGAAATATTCATACCCAGCTTTTTTGCAGCTAACATCCTGGGGACACCCTTGGAAAAGAAAATTATGTATTAAAGGGCTTACCCTAGAGAGGGAAAGTTCTAATGAAGTGTTAACAGAGCAGCTTCAAACTCAAGTGAGACCCTCGGAAGGCTATTCCAGCTGATTATTAACTAATCTATCTGCATTTCTAGAGTCCCCTACTCTCCACGGTACCTACCCTCGGCTTCCAGTTTGAGAATTGCACAGATACAGCGTAAAGTGAAAGTCTGCTGAGGAAACACTAATTCATACCACACGCCCCAGCTCCTAATCCTAAACATGTTTTTCTGCTCTGAACTGCTGATGAGTTTATTGCCCTCCCTAGGCATATGCAGCTTCATAATATGAAACTGAATGAGAGGCCGGGTGTACAGATTCGAAGTTTTTCTCTCTCCCTCATTACTGACATACTGGAGCACATGAGATGAGCATAGAAAAACATGCTAAAAACTGGCGGTAGAACCAAAAATGACCAACCTCTCCAATTGCTGAATTTTGCTGCAAACAAATGTCAAACTAGAAACAACAGGGGCTGACTACAAAGGTAGCATTACACACACACACCATCCACTGTCCTAGGTGGGTAAGAAGCTGAATTTGCAGTTCCCTCACCATCCTCTCCTCTCTGCCAACCCTCTCCACAGCGAGTCTGTCCTGACCATTCTCTCAATAAGTTTCTTCCACAGCATGCCATCAGATGTCACCCGGTACCACTCCTTACACACCAGCTCGGCAGCACATAACGATTTGGCATCCAGGTACGACAGTATGTTCTCAGCAATGTGATCCAAACCCCGAGCTGGAAAAAAAAAAGAGAGCATTAGTCATCGGGGAGATCGTAAGACAGTTTAAACAACTCCCCTTGTCTATTATGGAGATCCAGTCTCTTCCTTGTATCAGAGGGGTAGCTGTATTAGTCTGAATCTATAAAAAGCAACAGAGGGTCCTGTGGCACCTTTAAGACTAACAGAAGTATTGGAGCATAAGCTTTCGTGGGTGAATGCCCACTTCGTCAGACGCAAGTCTCTTCCCTATCACTGCTCATCCATTCCCCTGTACACAGAGTTAGACCAAATTCACAGAAGAGTATTTGCTGCTAAGTTCAGGAACAACCAGTGTTTTCCCAACTTGTTTTGGATCAAAAACAGCAAGGCATTAAAAATAATAAAGACTCTAGGAAGTCATTCCAATCTATTTCTATGGGTTTTAGCACTAGGGGGATAGTCTATGGATGGCATTTCCAACTCAGCGATGCAGCCCCCAAAATCTCTCTATATTAGGACCATTTCTCATCTTGCTGCTACAGCTGTTCTCATGTTCCAACGGCTCAAAAGCTGTTTTTGCTAAAGCAGTAGCTTTTGAACGTAATGAAGAAAAAAATATATATTCCCAATGTGTACCCTGAAGGGCAGTGGTACCTTCAGACATGGGAGGGGGGAAGGACACGCAGATGCATGGAGGAGAGAGTCAAGCAGGTTTGCTGGTATCATTTATTTCAGTAGGTGGAAGAAAGCGTACACCGACACGGTGTCATTTGCAAACATTTTCCAGTGTGAATACCAGAAGGGTTGCTTTGTGTTTCAATACCGCTGCAGTCACATGGAAGACAACTGACTCAAAAAAATAAAAGGTCACTTGACCAATAGCCTGGTTAACACCCCAGTGGATCTAGAATAGGATAAAATGTTGGAATACAGTGGGGGGTTCACCCGGTGTTGTTTGAAGTGGATGGGTTTAGCCATTAACATTCTCTACCACCTCCTCAAACCTAATCTGCACGGAGGCCTCAGAGGAATCAGATGCCTATAAAATAACATGGTTGCATTAATAAAGCTTCTCTTGGCTGCTGTTCTAATTCACAAGTGAGACAGCAACGGTGAGGGGGTTATTGCTCTTCACAGATCACATTTCAGAGGCTTCGCAGAAGCTGTAGTTCAGAGGAGTCCGCCCTCCCCCAAGCACAAACTTCTGCCCAACAAAGAGCAAGCATGCCAGATCGGTATTACACGCAACTTCCCTCCTCTCCCTAACGAAACCCACTAAACATCCGGAGTGGGATTAAATTCCTCTTTTCTTACTCTTATTACAACAGTCTCAAAGACTGAGCCCCATTTGTCAGCAGCACAGAAGTAGGAGGCAGTAAATGAATTGTGACTGGTTGTGTCACATGTCCATACTTAAGCAGATGGAGAGTGAGACACATATCAGCTGATTCTTATCAGAGTTCACAGGACACTATCTATTCTAGCTTTTGTGTCAGACTGAGAAGTTAAAAAAGATCTCAAAATTGGCTCCTCGTCCATGAAAATGATATAACACAGCATGGCTCCTGATTCCTTCCCTTATTCCTAATGCAACAGTTTAAAACGTAGCCACATGCAGAGAAACAATTTTATGATGCTTTGGGCCCGATCCTCCACTGCCCAACGCCTCGTATAATTTACACCTGTGCAAAAAAGAGCATGCAGATGACGACACAAGGTACCAGGTGGTGGAGAAAGAGGCCCAAACATGTCTAGAGTTTGGTTGTTATATTGCAGTATTAACCCACCAGGGTTCCCAATTGTACAGTTTCAGTTTATACACATAGATATTACACATAGAGCTTTACAAACTCCTTGAAAGAAGCTGGATTGACAGTTCTGAAGGCTGAAGTCCTCTGTTTATCAGCTGAGCAGGTGTAGGATGGGGAGTGTTTCCTCTGGCCACCCCTTATTCATGCGTCACAAACCTCATCTAGTGGGGAAAGCTGACGTCAGTTTGCATTCCCACGCCCTGAAGCTTCCACTGACACCTTAGACACATACATGGACACTGTGTGCCCACCCCTAGAGTCGACACCGGTAGGTTCAGGTGAATATACTGAGCTCCATAGGAATTCTGCACAAGGAAAAGAGGAAGGAAGGAGAAAGGACAGCAAGAAATGGGCCCACGCTGTAGAAGTTCCGCTTGCTGATTCCTAATCAATTCTCCCCCATCATCCCTCTTGTTCACCTCCCCCGACTCGCAGTCCCCAAATGGAGCCATCTTGAGTTGGTTTTTAATTTTCATTGTTGTGATATGTGTATTTCAATCACAGTAGTTGACCCAGATCACTGATCTTAGACCACTCTTATAGAGAGAAAACTGACAATTTTCAGAGAAAACTACCATCATACAACCCCCCTGCCTTGCCTCTACTACAAACGGGGGAAAAAAAAGAAAAAAACCCACCCTTAACTCTGACCTCCACAGCACCAGGATAAAAATCAAACAATTTTACTCCAAGTTAATAAATGTGTCTGACTGATGGATAAGAGGCAGTACTATGTGGGCAGAGTAGGTGGTCTGGTGAACCTGAATGAGAATTTGCCCACTTTCAGAGTTTTGGGATGCATTTTGTGTGTGTGAGGTGGGGGCAAGGGGATGAGAGGGATAAAGTAGAGCTTGAACTTAACTTCCAGGCTTTTTAACATGTGTTTTTGTGAGAGAGCTACAAAACTCTCCTGTGGGTTCTTTTTAGTTGAGGTGACACATTTAAATATTCCAGGTTAGTCACATTTTTTTCTGAAAATTTCCTTAGATTTAAAAAAATGTTTAACTATTGCCCGATAAGGAGAGCCACCGCAGTCCTTGCAAGCTGCCCACAGATGAACACAATTCAGTTCCAGACCTTCTGCCTCCTCACATGGCTTCTCACCTTCTATTCTCCTTACCAGAATCCTTGTCCTGCATGGGACATTTCTGCTTGTGCCCTGTACAGACTGAAACTACATGCCTCTCTGAGAATCTTTGTAATTAAGGCCACATGCGTTGGGATATACACACTTCGAAAACATGCACATTGATGCACATACATGCACAGTTACCCCATGTGTTTATTTAAATAACTGAATAACTGATATCTACATGCGGCAACCTAGAGAAAGGCCCTTCCCATTTGTTCAGTACCACACAAAAAGTGAAGTTTGAAGGTAGATCTATTTTAAGGATACAAGTAGTGAACAACAAGGAAAAAACAGTTACTTACCTGTACTGTAACTGTTGTTCTTTGAGATGTGAGTGCAGACATGCATTCCACTCAGGTGTGTGTGTGCCCAGCTCACCAATGGTGGAGAACTTTGCCTAGTAGTACAAATAGGAGTGGTGCTCATGCCGTGTGGCCCTTCACCTCCCGTCTACTCAAAAGCAGTGCCATCCCAACCCCCTTAGTTCCTTGACACCAAGAGTAGAGACGCCGATGCAGAGGGAATGGAGGGTGGGTCAAGAAATATAAATCTGCACTCACATCTTGAAGAACAACAGTTACAGTGTGAGTAATTAACTGCTTTTTCTTCGAGTGGTTGCAGATGTGTATTCCAATCAGGTGACTCACAAGCAGTACTTACATGAGGTGGAGCTTGGAATCTACTTAAAGGACTGTGGGACTGCTTTCCTGAGGTTGCATCTGACCTAGACACAGTCGTAACTGCGCAGTGCTTTGTAAAAGTACGTACAGAAGATCAGGCGGTGGCCCTGCAGGTGTCCAATATTAAAACATCTCTGAGGAAAACGTTGTATGACCCTGTAATCTCAGCAGAGGCACCGTCTGAGCTACTTCACATGCAGTTGTAATGCAGGAAGTTATCCACCCGGAAATCGTCTATACCAAGACCGCCTGATCCTTCACTGGATCCACATAGGGAGATGAAAAGATGAGGTGGAGCCCGAAAAGCTAAGTCCTCTCTAGGTAAAATGCCAAGCACGGTCTCACATCCAATCTGTGAGGTCTCTGCTCATCCATGTTGGGGTGCACGTTAGGAGAGAACACCAGTCAATAAATCAGGAGGTTAAGGGCAAACCGTGAAACCGCTTTAGACAAAAATTTTGTATGTGGCCATAGGGTCACTTAGTCTCTGACAAACTGAGTGTGTGGAGGCTCTGACATTAAGGCCTGCAGCTTGCTTACTCTCCTTGCAGATGTGACAGCTACAAGGAAGGCTGTCTTTTGGCACAGGAGGGACAGAGAACAGGTTGCCAGGGGCTCGACTGGAGATCCCATAAGGGCAGCTAAGACAGTATTAAGGTCCCACAAGGGAACTGGCTCTTTTACAGGTGGGTAGAGATGAATGACTTCTCTTAGAAATCTCACCACCATGGAATTTGAGAAACTTGACCTCCCTTGGACGGGCAGATGAAACTCTGAGATCGTTGATAAGAGAACCCTCAACGAGCTGAGCGACAGACCAGAAGACTGAAGGTATAACAGGTACTACAAAACGTCCTGAATGCACGCCAGCCTGAGCTGAATTCCCCACGCTAGCGACCAAACTGAAAATTGCTGCCACTTGGTCAAATAAGTAGCCTTAGTAGAGGCTTTCCTATTATTAAGTAACACTTGTCAAACAGCTTCCGAACATCGTTCCTCCTCTTAATTTAGCTATGAAGAATCCATGCTGTGAGATGCAGGTTGCTCGGCGCTGGATGCCAAATCTGACTATGGTGCTGGGTCAGTAAGTCGGGATAAAGAGGCAGAGAGATGGGCAGTCAAACCGACACACTGAGGAGATTGGAAAAACAACACTGTCTTGGCCACGCTAGTGCAATGAGAATCAGTCTGGCAAGATCCAACTTCAGTTTGAGAATGACCTGTGGGATGAGTGGGATCGGGGGAAGGCATACATGAACACCAATCCCCACTCAGGTGGAAGGAGCCTGGACTGAGGCCCGTTCAGGAACAAAATTGACAACCCTTCTTGTTGTCTTTCGTTGCAAGCAGGTCGATAGCTGAAATGCCCTAGTTTTCAAAATGGACCTCAAAACTATTCTTCAGAGACTATT